GCTTGAGTCCAAGGACAACATCTGTTGGGATGATGCAAGTCCAAGTCCAGGTGCCCTCTGTGTGTTGTATGTGACCAGGTGTTGAGTAAAAGGACCGCAAACCTAAACCTTAAAAAGGAGAAAAGTGGAAGCTACTCAATATGAAATTAGACAAAGACATTCCTCACATTTTATAGTAATTGTCACTTTGTTATCACCTAGGGAGATAGGCAGAAAATTCCGTCTTTATTTTCTGCAGGTGAGACATTATGGTTTGGAACTAGTAAGCCTGACCTGAAATATTGTCTGTCTTTTGCAAATGAGGTTAATGGTGGCTTGGGGACAGAACTGGGGACTTCTGCAAGATGAGGCAGTGTGAGTCTGGTGAGCCTAAGAGCCGAGTGGAGACAGGACTTGGGCAAGGCCACTACTTGCCACTGAAAACTAGCTCTACTGTACCCCAGCGGTGTTGTTTGTTTGTTGTTTGTGCACCAGTTCTGTTGCCTCTCCCTCAACCTGAGCTTTCTCCCACTCAGGACTTGATGACTCACTGCAGTAGCACGCATATTCAAGAGTCATGTGTGTGGTATTCACTAGAAGAGGAAAATGAATTAACTCAGAGCTGTGTCTGTTTCCCCAGGAAGGGTGAAATGACTCCTACAGAGACTGGAGCCTTAGGGTGCAGATGATGGAAATGAGTGAGACAAGAGAGGAGGTGGCCGCGGTGGTGGTGAGATTAGAGTCCCAGTGGAGAGGGTGGGTATTTACTGGAGCTCCTTGCCTCCATCCCGCAACTTGATGACTCACCATGACCAACAATGCTTTCTTGGATGAACTGGTTCATTGCACAGCTAAGATTCATAAGCTTTGGAGTAGGAGTAGGAGTACCCGCCAAGGTTCATCTTGCATCATTTTTACAGTGCAAATGAAAGATAATGTTGATAATTTACAACTGATACTGTTATTGCTATATAGTGGCTCAAGTGGTGTTGCCATTGTGGTTGTAAGGTGTTATTGAGTTAAGTACAACTCACAGAGACTCAATGGACAACAGATCTGAACCCTGTCCTATCCTGTGCCATCCCTACAATTTCTGACATGCTTGGGCCCATTGCTGCAGTCACTATATTAATCCTTCTAGTTGAAGGTCTTCCTTCATCTCTTTTGCTCATTCTCCACCTTTCCAAGCTTGACATCCTTCTCCAAGGAATAACCTTCCTAGAAACATGCCCAAAGTAGATGAGATGAATCTCTGTCATTTTGTCTCCAAGGAACACTCTGGCTGCACTTTCTCCAAGACAAATCGGCTTGTCCTTTTGGCAACTGGTATTTGTTGTTGTTGTTATGTGCCGTCGAGTAGTTTCCGACTCATAGCGACCCTATGCACAACAGCCCTAAACCCTGCTCTATCCTGCGCCAACCGCACCGCCTCTGACACACCCATCCCGATTACCCCAGTCACCAAATCAATCCATCTCATAGAGGGTCTTCCCCTCCTGCGCTGTCCCTCAACCCTCCCAAGCATGATGTCCCTCTCCAAGGACCCGTCCCTCCTGGCAACATGTCCAAAGTATGTCAGACGAAGCCCCAGAATCCTTGCCTCGCAGGAGTAGCTTGGTTTAATCCTCTCCAAGATGAATCTGTTTGTTTTCCTGGCAGTCCATGGTACATCCAGTACCCTTCTCCAGCACCACAGCTCAAAAGCATCAACTCTCCTTCTGTCCTCCCTAGTCATTGTCCAACTCTCTGATGCATAACAAGCGGTTGCAAAGACCATGGCCTGTATCAGGCGCACCTTAGTCTCCAGAGAGACACTGTTGCTCCTGAGTACCTTTGAGAGGTCCCTAACAGCAGACTTTCCCGTCGTGATACGCTTTTTGATTTCCTGACTGCTGGTACCAAGAGCGTTGGCTGTGGAGCCGAGCAAACTGAAGCTGTGAACACTCTCAATCTCTTCGTCATCCATCCTGATGCTGCCAATTGGTATTAGGAACACTTAATTTAGTGTTGCACTGCTCTTGGAGAGGCGTAATGGTGTGCATTAGTGCCTAAATTATTTGTTGCTGAATGCTAGAATTATCCCAACCTCCAATTCAAAATTTAGAAATAGTACCAGAGTTATTACTTTTCTATATTTCTTCAACTTGCATTTCATTTATGAGCGTAGGAGATAAAATAGGAACCTTAAAATCTAGAGGTTTTCCTGCATCTGAAAATAAGGAACAATGGAAATGAAAGAGCCTTTTGCAAAGATTAAACCTATTTCAGTCTCATATGTAAATATAGCAAAATAATACATTGCCATTCAGAATTTTCAAATAGTTTTATGCCTTTGCTGCCTATAGCCGCCATAATAAAAAGTACCGTAAGTCGGTGTCCTTAAAGAATAAAAATTTATTTTTCCTTAAGTTTCATAGTTCAGGAAGCTCGAAGTCTGAACTCACTAAAGTGTGACCACTTCACCCCTGAAGAATTAACTCTCCATCGTAACTCTTTATCCTTAAAGCATTAAAAATGCTTCACCTTATTTGAGTTTCTAGCAGTTACTTGCCATCTTTGAGATTTCAAGCTTGTAGACGAGTCCTTGCATGGCACCTTGGGTCAATGCTTACAACTGCTAATTAGAAGGTTAGAGGACTACATCCACTCAGAGACACCTCCTAAGAAAGGTTAGTCATTCTACCAAGTATTTTGTTGTTGTTGTGTGCAGTCAAGACAGAATTGACTCACAGCTCACCTTTCATGGCATTTTCAGAGGCTTTAAACCACAAGGAAGGAAATTGCCCAGCTATCTCCTGAGCAACTGGTGGATTCAAACCATATGATTTTGGATTAGCAGTACGACTTCTTGTCATTAGGCTACCAGGGTTCTTAACAGTCATGGAAAATTTTGTGGAACCTTGTTCTACTCTCACTTGCAGGAGATTGTCAAGAGTCAGTCAATTCAAGGACTTCTGTTTTGCTCTTTGGTTTGTTTTGTTTTGTGTTGAGCTTGAAGGTGCATCTGCCATGTGTATTTCTATTTATCCACAGGGACTTTTCCCATTGTGTGTGTCTATATAGCCCTTTTGCTCCTTCAATAAGACACCATCAAAAAATGATCAGGCTTAAAACCCAACCTACTCTATTGTTTCATTACCATAACAGAAGAAAACCCTATTTTTAAACAGGATCTTTTTTTTTTTTTTTTAGTACAAAGGTAAGGGCTTCCACATTTCTTTTCGTGAGACATGATTCACTGTACAACTCTCCTAATAAGGAACACATGTGTTCACTTCTAGACGTTTCTGTCCTCAGCCTCTACTGGTAGGAGACCATATGTTTGGGTTCTTTGTGTTTTTTTAAAAAATTCAAGATGGTCCATACACGTTCATTTCAGCTCACTCTCCCCCACAATATTGATCTTCTTCCTGTGCTCCGTTTCATTTCTTTATGGCTTCCAGTTTTCCAAGATTCATCCTTTGAACATTCCACATTCTGATTATTAGTGGATGTTTGCACCTGTTTCTTCTCATCGTGAGTCCTGCCACGTCAGCAAATGAAGTTCCTGAAAGATTTACTCCGTCCATTAGGTTGAGTGTACATTGAGATGGCAGCTGTTTCCAGCTTGCATTCTGAATACTTTCCAACTCACGGGGCTCATCCTCTGGCAATCTGTCAGGCGATTTTCTCTTATTACTCATGAGGTTTTCATAGGCCAATGTTTTCAGAAATGGATCACCAGGACCTCTTTCTTTGTCTTTAATCTGGAAGATCTGCTGAAAACTGTCCACTAAGAATGGCCCTGCTAATATTTGAAGTAATGATGACTTCCCACATTACAGCAAAAAGTGAATCACTATACCTGACAAGCAGATGAGTGAGTGGTCATGCATGGCTAATGTCTTTTTTAATACCATAAATAGAGGAAGACCATATACATGGACCTTTCAAAATGGAATATACTGAATACAATACATTGTATCTGTGGGAAGAGATAATGGAGAACCTCAACGTCATTAATCAGAACAAGGCCAGGAGTCAACTGTAGAGGAGGCCATCATTTGCTCATTTGCAAGATCATATAGATACTGAGTAAATTTAAAATTAAGTCCACAAAAGCCAGAGTATACCCTTAAGTATATTTCACCTGAATTTAGAGACTCTTACGAGAATATATTTGACTCACGGAGCACTAATTTGGCTGAAGAATAGACCAGTTGTACAATAATAGAAAAGACTTCATAAATGAAGAAAACAAAAGGTCATTTAAAAGACCAAAATGAAAAGGAAGGAACAGCAATACCGAAATGGATGTTAGAAGAGACTTTGAAGTTTTTCCTTGAACACAGAATAGCTAAAGCAAATCAGAATATTATAAAAATAAAATAGACAATTTCAAAGTGTTCAGCTTGAGAAAGTATTTTGAAGCAATTTAAAAACGCGGAGTTACAAAGCCAAAAGGTAAGAATGTTAGACACTTTTGAAGCTTAGAGAACAGCAGAGGGAAAAAAATAATCAAACCTTAAATTGTAATGTTGAGTAATTCTATGGACAGAAGAAAAAAAAAGAATGATGCAAGAAGCATTAACACCACACAAAAATGAATGTGCAGAGCAATTGCACTATAAAGATCTTTGTAAATGTTAAACATTTTAGGGAGATTGTATATGATAACAAAACAAAAAATAAAACTACTGATGGTATTGAAGATGCGCATACTTAACTGAGGACATTGATAGAAACCAATTCTTCAGAAACTGATAAAACACCTGTTAACAAATGGATGAAACATTTAAGTACTCACTCACCTAGCCAAGAAAATCAGAAAACACTTGCCTAGCCCATCAACTGTGAGTGATCAATTTTGGGTCCTTTATTAAAAAAGATGATCCAGACATCGACTACACCTGGATCTAGCAGCTGGTTCCCTGCCCTTGAAGCCATTCGTTGGCCTGCCATCTTCCTCTCTTGGTGTTTTCAGCCAGCATCCTGACTTTCTATCCTAGAATCTTCTGAGACTACAAATCCTGCAAATGGATATGCGAAAGGGGCTGATGCCCAAAGCCTGGAGACACTCCAACAAGCTGGACTGCCTGGGCCTCACCTTCTCAAGCAACTGGGAGACCCAACCGAAGCACAGACTGACGTTCGTCCACCACCACAGATGCTTGGGGAGCCTGGTGACTGTCAGGATTGCGCCCTCCTTGAAACACAGACCACCCCTGCTGGCCAACCTGGCAGAAGAACCCCTTTGCACCAGGAGAACCCTGGAAAAGCAGCGACAGGACCCCTGCTCCAAGGAGGCCATGTTGCAGGCCCTGTGGCAATGCCACAAGGGCAAGAGGAAGTTTGAGGAGCCCCTGTGGTTTGAGGTCCTGGACAGTAAGAAACCGAAGGTGATCCCGGAGGCCGGGCGGTCTGCCTTCAGGCCCCTGAAAAATGGCAAGACCCCTGCCTTCGTGCCCAGGCCAGGCTCGCTGAAGAAACAGCCTGGTACCTGGACCTGCAGCCTCTGTGAGAAGTGGATTGGTCCTGGATACAACAAGGAATCTTTCCTGAAGAGATCCCAGCCATCTCCCTTTGCCACCAAGACCCCGCTGCCCATGGCTGATAAGAAACCAGAAATGGACCCTTTCTCTAAGGCAGCAGCAGACCTGGGGGTCAACCTGGCTTACAGCCCATGCCATCAGTCTGCATGTCGTGAGGGGTAGAAAGTGGCCACTTGGATCAGAATGAAAGACCTGAGGGGCTGGTGTCAGTGTGGAAAGACTGCTGGGTGTGGTAGGTGCAAGTTGCTGGGACAAAAGCGGGGCTGTGTTATAGGTGATGAGGGGCTATTGGGTCTGGGATGATTCTTTCTGTTCACTGAGAGAAGGAAGGTGGAACAAGCCCCCCTCCCACAATTCCTCTTTGTAACTGGAATACTATGCAGTAGCTTTTTTTGCCCATTCCTGTTAGCATATTGGATCAGTTATTGTAAATAAATTGTTCTGTATTAAAAAAGAAAAAAGATGATCCAATAGATTGCAGACATTATCAGACAGCAATGTCATAAGTCAGTAAAAAAAAAAACTAGGAAAAATTTCCTTGAAGATAGTTAAAAATAATTGCTAAAATATACAAATAGAGAACTGCCAGAAATTCAGGCAAGATGGAGAAGAGGGCATGGAACAAAGACTGAAAACAGGATTTCATAAAGAGGTTTGCCCGTGCTTCCTTGGCTCTGTAAAGCCAACTGTGTGGATCCTAATTATGGATAACACTGTGTAGAAGGGAAATCTCAGTGCATTTAATTGTGCTCATAAGATGTATGTATACAGGTCAGAAGTAATTGTCCCAATAGAACAAGGGGGTACTGCATGATTTAAAATCAGAAAATAAGTGTTTCCTACTTAGATCCTTTTCATCAGGTGAAATCTTGACTTCCTCTGTGCTGTTAAGGTAAACTCTGCTTTTGAAGAGCCAGTTCGATCTCAGCCGTGCTTTGAATGAATTTCAACCTGAGGGTCTCATCTTCAGTCACTGTTATGAAGCAATGTGCCACCGGAAGTGCCTTTTTAATCTATAGGCTTTTCAATGGTGCATTGTTTCCATAAATGGCTGCTTCTTCCTCTGCATGCTCTACTGTAACCTGTCTCCCATGAATAACTCTACAAGATTTAAAAGAGTGGCAGCATAGCTTTCAGCATCACAGCAAACACAACGCACTGCAGATGGGCAGACAGACAGATGAGTAGGGAGGGCTAGCAGGCAAAAGACCAAAACTCGCCGCCGTGGAGTCAATCCCAATTCACAGCAGCCCTCTATTGAGCTGCCAGGCTATGCGTCTTTGCTGAAGGAGACGACTCATCCCTCTAACACTGGCCTTTTGAGCAGCAGAGAAACATAAAACGTGCTACATCCTGAGACCTCTTCAGAGGGTAAAGGGGTTGTTGGGATATTACCTGAGTAACTGGAGTTCAAAAGACCAAGCATTCAGTTATACCCCAAAGTCTGACAGTACAAATCCAATCAGGGGCTTCTTAACAGAAAGATTTAAAGATCTGCAAGGTTAGAACCACTGAAAACCTTTCAAAACACAATTCTGCTCTTAAGTTCATGGACTTGTTCTCCAAAGTTCTGCTTGGAAGCACGTGCCAAGAGTTGGAACTGGCTCCATGGCAACTCTTCTTTGGTCTTGCTCCAAGCTGGAGAAAATAATACTGAGACATATCTCCTTCTTAGAAAATACATAGTAAGCTTCTGTTGTTGTTGTTAGGTGCCATTGAGTGGATAACAACTCATAGTGACCCTATGAACAACAGATCGGAACCCTGTCCTGTCCTGTGCCAGCGTCAGTATCTCTAACACACTTGAGCCCATTGTGCAGTCGCTGTGTCAATTCATCTTTCTGAAGGCTTTCCTCTCTTTCGTTGCCCTTCCGCCTTTCCAATCACGAGGGCCTTTTACAAGGAACGATGCCTTCTAACAACATGGAGCTCTGGTGGCCTAATGGTAAGAATTTGTGTTGGAATCCAGGATGTACATAGTTCAAATCTGTCAGCTGCTCCATGAGAGAAGGAAGGGCAACCTCCTCCCATGTGATTAACTGCCTCTGAAAACTGACTGATGATCAACTATGGGTCAGTTCCTACTCGACAGTACTTAACAACAGCAACATGGCAAAATATGTGTGATGAAGCGTCACCATCCTTGTCTCGAAGGAGCACTCGGACAGCACAAAAATATTCATTTCAGAACTTTGAACAAGATGAAGCTTCTATTCTCAGTCGATGGAATGTTATGAGTCATCTAGGCAGAATCAACTTCATAGCTGACCCTCTAGCGGGTTTTCAGAGGCTGCAGATCACACAAGCAGAGATAGCCCGTCTTCTCCCATAGAGGAGCTGGCTGATTCAAACCCTGTGCCTTTGAGTTACCAGCCCAACTCCTCATACTTCAGAGTTCCCTACTGGATAGAAATAATGAGTAGTGAATGGATTAGATGCCCATAACTATGATCAATGAATGATAGAAATGAATGCACCTTAGAAAAGAGTAAAAATTAAAGTTAGAGCTATGACAACTCAACAGTCTTTAAATCACTCCTGATAGAACTTGAAGTTTTGTGCTTTCAAGGTAGAATTAGAGAATTCTGGGATGTAAAGATCTCCAAGGCTGTGATCTCTGTGGAAGCAAACTGCCCACCTTTCTCTTGAAGAGGAACTTTTAAGGTCAAACCACCATCCTTTGAGTAACAGCCAACGAGTAACCATCCTTCCACCAGGGATTAATTATACTAACAAATAATTTCTATTTCAAAACAAGTAAAGTCAACAAACTCACACAGCTGAGAAAGCATGAATTGGACATGAAAGAATCATCCGCTTGGCTTACAGAATGTAGTGAAAAACCACACTGGAAATTTGGCTAACTTGAACCATGGAGTTAAAAAACTCTTTCCTTAGATTAACTATTGAAAGTCTATGTATCTGGTGATCAAACAGAGACATTACACAGGGACAATAATTAAGATTCATATAGAAATTGTGTGATTAGAAGAACCCAGAGAGAGACCATTGCTTTAGCTTCATTTAGACATACTCAGGTCAAGAATTGTATCATAGCCCTAGGCAGTGGAAAGGAAAAGAAAAAAAAAAAAACCAACCTGACAGGTAGCATTTGGGTCAAGTTCCTAGAGAAACTAGTGGCACCATTAACAGAATGGGGAAATTAGGAGGTGAGGCTTTGCAAAGGAAAGTGAATGCACTCAGCCCCAGATAGAGCCTGAAAGATCGCCGTTCAGATAATCTAATTCCAATAGGAGTCAGAAATCCAATCTTGAAGCCCAGAAGAGATACCAAGATACTAAGATGGTAAATATAGATTTGAGAGGCATCCCCTGCCTAGATGCAATCACTGAAGCTGACAGATTAGATGAGAGTGTTGAGGGAGTGATTGTGAAAAGGAGAAAAGTCAAGGACAAAGACCCCAGTGTCAGTGTGTGTGTGTGTGTGTGCGCACACACACACACACACACGCATACATGCATGAAAGTAAAAACTAGACTTCTAAATAGTCACTTTTTCACCAAGCTGCATTTAAAAAAAAAAAAAAAGAAAACACATTACAACTATTTGCAGCATTATTAAATTAGTCCTCCTTAATATTTGGGTTTGCTTTAGATGATATTTTCTTTCTCTAGGGTTTTGAGGCTCTGGGGAAGCTCTCTTGTGTCATTACTAGCTGTTGTCAAGTCAATTTCAATTTAAAGTTTATTAGACAAAGTACAACTCCTCTATAAGAGAGAATGCTAGTTATTCAGTCCTTGGGAGCTGCTGTTAACACAAAGGCAATGCCACTCTGAATGTTCGTGTCCACCCGCAGCTTCATGGGAGAAGACAATCTCCACCGTGTAATTCACAGCTTTTGAAACCCTGCTGGAATGTTCAGTTGTCGTTCAATAGTGGGTGTATGTTCATATGTGCACATTAATAATAAGATGTTCTTATCAGGAAAGCAATAAATAAATACATACAACCATCTCAACCACAACATTAGCAGTATTACTCAACATGTTTGAGTCGAGTAGCGTATGCAAGCATTTACCCTCACAGCATCCCTCCCTCCACAGGCAAAGACCTGAATTGTCAGCACAGTTCACTGTCTCCCAATACAATGAAACTATTCACTATCAAACTTCGTTTTGATAACTGACTCTAAAACTTAGATCTTAACCATTCTACTTCCTTGCTTTAAGCTGGTCAATGGTCAGTCTAACCTCACCCTTTATCTTAATGTCATTATTATTTAATTAATCTTTTAAGTCTTGTTTATTTGTTTTCATTTTACTTTTTTCTTCTTCATTAGAATAGGTGGGTGTCTCTAATCCATGGTGCTCAGGCCTGTTTTTAATTGTTCTTGGTGAAACATTCTTCTAGGTTGTATAGCCCTGGCGTGTCCACTTGCTGTACAGAGCTGTGAAGCTAAACACTGTGACACTGATGTGTCAAATACGAGAATGGTTATCCATGGGGGACAGTGTTTGGTGGAGCTCCCTGGTTAAAACAAGCTTGGAAGCAAGAGTGGCATCCACTTCCCAAATAGCTTGCCTCCGGAAACCCTATGAATCTGGAGAAAGGACGAAAGTTTTACAAGTGTCCAGGTCTTTCACTCATAGGGTTGTTATGAGCCACCTATGACTCAACAGAACTTAACAATAACAACAACAATAGAATAGAGTCAAATTGACCGTTTTTTGGCTTGTAGGTCTTTGAATTTCAACACGTGGTTCCACTCCTGCGACTCCCAATGTAATCAGAATACAGAAGAGTTCCCTGACCCTACACAGCACTCCTTTTGTATTGTACTCTTTCTCTATCCTTTATGCCAGGCACACCTGATCTGCTTTTTATCATTCTAACTTTTCCTTCTTGAGAGAGGGATCTACCCGGAACCACAGAGTGTGCAACCTTTTGAGTCTAGCTTTTCACTTACTCTAATGCTTTTAAGATTCTCCCAAATTGGTGCCCCATCAGGGTTTGCGGAGTCGTTTTCCACTGTGTGAATGTAAGTTTGTGTATTCGTTCACCAGCAGGTACACATGGGCATATTTTCCAGTTTGAGGAGATTAAGACTAAATCTGCTATAAATAGTCCCAGAAGGAGTTCAAGTGAACGTAAGTTTCCATTTCTTTAAGGTAAATATCCAGGGAGGGATTGGTTTGCTGTAT